CTTCCTCTATCAGCCGATACTGTACACGGTCTCGGCAAAGCTCTACGTTTGGCCTAAAGGTTCTGTTCTCCAGCCGTGTCTGAGAAACCTTCATTGGAGCCTCTTTATCAGCAATAGCTCTTTTGAGCATTTCAATGTTTTGCTCCATGGCAGCTATTTCTTCCATCACCTGAGGAAATAAAAAAATTAAGTCAACTGTTTGACTCCCACTATCTAATTGTTAATTCCCCTCCCTAACCACTACATATTTCCTTGTAAATTAGTGGTAAGAATTTGGTGTTAGATCAAGATAACTTCTAGCTGATAGGTCTGACTATTCTCATAACCTGTTTTCTGGATAATTTAAAGATATTTGAGCTTAATGAATCAGATATAATTTCTACTGATATATTTTGCCAAAAAGCCTATAGTTATTAAAAATCATCATGATGTAATAATGATTATTTATAACAACAAATATACTTCATCATCATTTTACTGTCAATTGGTAGAACTTTTCCAAGCAATTGTTACTTGATGTTTGATTTGATTTTATTTAGATTCTTATATCTCTTGAGACATTGAAGTAATCAGTTGTGAAGGAATTTAAGTTGTTAAGGTCACTATAACTCACCTGAGCTAAATGTTTTTCTAATTTTGATTTTGCTTCCACAGTTTCTTCAATTCGCTTCTGGAATGCCAAGTTAACAGCTTGGCATTGGGCTTGAAGGTCACTTAAGGTCTGCATAAGTATACCATCTATGATGCTACGCAGATTAATGGAAGAATTTTTCTCACGTTCTGCCTTAAGAATATTCTTGTTGGAAAAATCTTCCCATTCATCAGGAGTTACAGAGCTGAAAACAAGATTACATAAGCTTCAATAAGAAAACAAGAAGCTAAGATCACCAGCTATTATGAACGATGCGGATTTTATACCTCTACATAACAATTTGATCACATTTGTTTAGCTTATAAGGTAGATCTCTTTGTGAAAGGGACAGGGATTTAAGGCGAATGTTGAAATGCAGTAGTGAAAGACACCAATCTTTACAATACTTAACTTTTTTTCCTGTCCTGGCAAAAACTGTGAAATCAAAGCACTGTTTTTCTACTACATGTGAGTACATGCAGAGTAAAAATTTCACTTGTTTTAATTTTGGTAAATTGTCCTTGATCCCCACAAACTCAAAAAAGTTTTCACAAGGAATTGGTCTGCAGTTTGCCATTAATTTAATTGAAAAGGTCCATTTTCATTCATTAAGATTGATAACAAAGTTTCTCTGAGTTTAAAAGCATGAGGAAAGCTATTACAAAATCAACTCACTTACTTTTTCTCCACCTTAACAGCATCTTTGGCAAAGCGCAGCCCAGCTGAAGTATTTTCTAGAGATGCACACTTGTTGTCAATATTATTGGCTTGGAACTTGTCTTTCCTGTCTTTGTCCAAGTAGTATTTGGCTGATCTTAAAAGCCTGTAATTTCATGGAAGGTAATTATAATAACTATTTTAAAATATGTGGTACTTTTGATGGAATGATTATTGGTTGTTGACATCCGTACGTAGTTCTTAAAGTCTTTCAGTTTTGTATTTATGTAGGAAGAAAAAGATGACCATCTAAGCTAACATGTTCGGCTAATAAAAGGATATAAAATATTGGTATGTGATAGCCTTGAGATTCACAAGATTAATCATCTGCTGTTGACAGACCGCGTTCTTGCAAATTCATGACGATACTATAACTATTTTAGAATAATTTTTTATAAGCGATTTCAACAGAAAATTTACGATCTAGAATAACCATTGGCGGACTTGCCTTATTTGCTCAGTTGCTTGTTCAAGAGTTCTCTGTAACAGGGCTTGCACACCTTCAATAACCTCCACCTCCTACAAAAATCGATCGCATTAAAAAAACCATTCATCGAATATTTTGAGAAAATGATTAAATATGAAACGCAAAATCGCTTTATTACCTTTTGAAGTTGCATTTCCACATTGTCGTGGACGAGATCAACTTTCATTCGCCTTTCGCGGTTGACCAGACATTGTTGAGCGATCATAAGAGGGAGTTCTGTATCTGCCAAAGCTTTCTCTACTCGGGCTTTGAACTGAAGTAAGGTGGAGATTTCGTCTTCTGTTTCTTCCTGCTTCTGATCTAACTCTGATTTCCAAAAACCTATATCAGTGATTCGCTGTTCAAGCTTCTTATTGACGTCCATTTGAGTTTGTGTCGTACGAACTTCGGTTTCATGAGCGAGTCGAAAGCTTTCATCTCGAAGCCTTTCTGCTGCAGCGCGTTCCCGTTCAGCATTGAAATATTGAAGATGGTTCGAAGCGTTCCATTCTTCGGGAGTGTACTTCGGTGGAGGCTGTACTAACCTGGCCATCTTGCTTCCTTTTCTCAAAATGTCCGTCTTCAATGGAGTAAACTTGATTTGTAATTCTTGTTGCGGGAAGTCCTGGAAAACAAGCCGACGTTCCTAAGCAACAGCTGATCAGGTGGGTCATTACAAATTTGAGCCGATTGTTGCTATGGAACTATCAGCGGTAATACATCTTAAACTAAGATGGCGGACGATTCTATCCATATGAGTGTGGTTCAGATTGGTGAAAGAAAATTACGGTTTTTGGAATGGGCAACGACAGACGACACGATTTCAAATTCTCAAGAGCAAAAAGATAACATTCTTTTATTTCTTGGGGCTGATGTGCTATCTGGGTGTTCTATCGCTGTATCTAACTTACCAAGGATGCATGCGAAGTTTTCCAAGCAAGGCCTAGCTGTTAAAGTTAATTTCCCTAATTCTCTTCGATTGCATGGCATCCATGGCTCTGCTCGTGGTGTTTGGTTCTACTCAATTCAAGGCCTTTTCAGAGTTTGCTTTGAGTATTACAATCGCGAGGAACAACTAGAATGCCTAACAAAGCTCTGCGCCTCTTGGAAGTTAAGATTTACAGACAAGCCATTTAGGCAAAGAGAAATTGAACTCAATTTTCAAGATACTCTCAAACAACAGGTGGAAATCCCTGCAGGCCCAGATGACGCAGATTCAACTGGACAGCCTTACTCGGATAAAAACGTTAACCCATCAGAAATCACATCCACTAAAATAACGGAATCTGATGGCAACATTTCTCACTCGCCTGCATCAGGTTCTTTTTATCACGGATGCATTACAACACCCAACTGGAAGCGATACATGAAAGAAATCGAGAGAATTTCGAAAGAAGCAGATCATTGTGACTTTGAAGATCTTCTTGACACCATTATTAGAATTTTAAAGGAGTATGAAGTTCAAACAACTCCTAAACAAACTGGATTATCAGGAGTACTTGTAGCAGTTAGCAAATATCTTGGTGATGAATTTAATAGACTCCAGCTTGAAATCAGTGAAAGAGTAACCGAGTTCAAGAAAAGGCATATAACTTCAATTGATAATCTTCCCCCATCATCGATTCTTGTCAAAGAACTTTTCCCTGAGTGTATGCAGGTTTTATTGTTGAGTTGGATGGGAAGCAGGGATGGTGGACAAGACATGAACAGCATTGTGCAAGTGATATTAGAACTTGTGAATATGAGCCTGGTTTCAGGTGTCGCTCATGTCTTGTATTCTAGGTTGATACAAACTGATACAGTTTAATGTTTGAGTGTTCTCTCTAATTTAATTCTAGTATGTAAAATATTTTATAGGCTTTTGACAAACCTCAGGGGGTGCAAACTTTTGGCAGTTTAGTTGCTGCCCATAATTGAATAAGTTACAGTCTGAATTGGTGTCTTGTAACTCTTTTCCTTACTGTAAAATTTGACAAAGAGTGTTTGTACAATTAAAAGAAACCTCTTGCACCTGTTGGTATTTCAAAATTACTAATACAGCTGACAAATTTGGAAAAGTGATGAAGCATTTCTGAAGGGAAAGGGGTAGCGATTACAGAAGTCAAATGTTTCTGATTAAGATATATGGGGAATTAAGGACAAAAAGAGGATAACAAGGTGATTTATACAATTTTTACAATTTGGCTTCCTGTTCTATGGGAAAGAAATATAGAATAATTAATGACATTATTGATGAGAGAGAATCAGTAAGAATGGTAAATGCTGTGCCATTCATCCATCAACCAGACCACATGGCACTTAAGGTGAGTGATGTGTCAGCAGCTTATTGGCAACATCTAGCTCATAACAAAACGTTGTAATTTTACATATGCACAGTTATGGCTTTTCTCAGCAGGGAAATCCTGCCAGTTTGTATATAAGTCATGAAGTATATGAAGGTAACTTTTCTTTCATTTTAATACTGCAACTGTAAGTTAACAGTTTGAATAAATTTAGATTAAAATTTACATTTAACATACATCAAAAATAAATAGGACATTTAATACAGATGACCCTATAATCTGAAAGGCTAACATACTCAATAATTTAGAGTAGTTTTTGAAGTTTACTGAGGTCTAAAACCCACTTCTTCAACCCCATCAGGCATTTCTTGAAGTTCAATTAACTCGTCAAACTGCTGTACATGAAACTTTGATACCTGGTGGTCTATCATTGTTTTTATCACCCTGTAGCCCTGAACTGTCTCAAACAAAACAAAGACTGCCATAATAATGTTGACAGCTCTCTCCATTGGCATTATCAACATACTCTCATTGAGCAGTAGCATTAACGTCAATGGGAGCTGAAGCACTAGGGTTAAGATCCAGAAACCAGCAAGCTCAGGAACCTGATGAAGGGAAAAAGAGTGATTAAGGACAGTGGTGACCTTGGAATAATTTTGTTTCAATCTTAGTAACCTTTGGTTAAATTGTACAAAAAAAAGAAAAATTGTAAAATAATTGTGAAAAAATACTTTGTGGCTGACATGACCCTGCCTTCTGTCTCAGCCAAAAGACTCATCAAATACCTCTTGGAATTTTCAAGAACTTGTTGAGCATCCCCCGAAGGTAACAATGTTGGCAGATTGGCCCTCTATTGCAGAAGGATTCCCAAAAGCATGTTCACGAGTTACAAGTTATACAATGATAATTTTTTTTGTTTGTTAATTTTTGTTTGAAATCTTTTTTCTTCTTCTTCTTCTTCTTCTGGCTGCTCTTGTCCATTAATTCTTACACCTATGCTGCTTGTCAACAAATCTCAAAGCCTTAATAAAGGTACCAATAGACTATGCTCTTTTTTTCATACATCATCACCAATTTTTACATGTCAAAGAACAATAGATTCAACATATTTTGAAAAGGAAGATTAGATGTCTCAGTCTACCTTTTCCTGAAGATTTCCAGCATATCCCAGGTAAAGTCTGGCAATCTCCACCAGTGCCATTGCTACATATATAACAATTGTTATGAACTTGTATACTGAGTCCAGCTTTTGATACTAAAAGATACATAAAAGAGAGTATCACAACTATTTGCAGACCAAAAGCTATTTTTCAATCTTATTTTTTCTCATCCATTGAGTTGATCATGTGAATAAGACTGATTCTTAAGCTCACATTTTGAGCATTAGCCATTTTTCAGAGCCAATTTGTCCTGACAAAGAGCTAATTCTTGGAAAGTCAGCTTTAGAATATCTTTACTATGGCCAGCTCACATTATTAACTAAGTTGATAAAAGCAAATCATCTTGCAATACCCCAACTGATGTAACAAAACAGTTTCTTGAGAATCTTAAACTGCTTCATTATTTTTTCAAGTATTTACCAAATTCAAATGTAGTAAATTTAAACTAGTTTCCCATCATTTCAGCGACTGAGAATTTGACAATCAAGACTTGCAGTGTAGCCTTTACTTTCACCGAATAATAAGTGATTTTGGCAAGATGATAATTGGTCAGTTTATTTAAGACAAACCCTTGCTGATCAAGTATAAATTTGAAAGTTGCATCCACCTACTTCTTAGTTCTTACATTTGCAGCAGAAATGCTTGCAAACATAACTAAAAAAAAACAAACCAACAAAAACAATTATTGAGTCACAATTATGTAGAGGAAAGTTATCTAACCTTTGCCACAAGCATGACAATGCATGTTATGTACCAACAAGGGGAAAAATAGACATTGAAGTACAATGACATCTGCAAGGCCAAGTTAGATACAATTTCATTTCCTATGAAAGACAGTGAAGATGAGATGAAATTGCCGATACATCAGTTAAATTCATTTATCTTATTATGTCAGATTAAAAAAATTTAAGAATCTCACAGCCCGTTGAAAGATGAGCCGACGGAATCTTTGCTCCCTCCCCCCCTCCCCCACCTACCGCCAGGTCCTATCATAATTCACCAAGGAAAGAAGGTGTCACTTGAGTCACAAAAACTCTATGGCCTGAATAAAATTTTCTAATAACGCGGGACTGAGGCCTTTCATAAGAAATAACATCTCAACAGTTTTATCGTCAGCCATTCATTTTGAGTCCCACACGAGTTTATTTTGACGTTGCTACGTTGAAAGAGTGACAGGTCTGGGATCAAAAAGGTTTTCAACACGTGAAGAATTACTAACAATAATAGGGGAAAGAGAGTTGCTAACCTGAGCTCACCATATGGTGTCGTGGATGGTTTCGTATCGAACGTGATGAGGGAAAAACAGTCTCTGTTACTGAGGTAAATGCAGCCCTGAGAGTGTCTGCCATGTTTGTTTGTGTTTTCCAACCTTCCCAAGATGCAATGGTATGCGAAGTAGCTTCGCCTGTCCCATACGTCCCTGCGCTCTTGCAGAGGTCAAGACAAGATGGCGCATCTTTGGCGAGTTGGTAAATGAATATTGTCAATTATGTGCTCGATTGATGCTCTATACTAATTATATTTACTTTTGAAAACTCCCTAAGTACGAAAGATTACAACGCACAATTCTTTGGCGATCAGAACTATTTCGGTGTCGTCCAACAGACTTGCATATAGTAAGTACGAACTTTGAGCTTTAGGTAACTTCGAAATATCATGCTCTTTTAATTGTTATCGAAAAAACGTTTTAATGTGTTACGTTTGTGTTTTTGTAGAATACATATCAAAGGAATCTCAAGATATACCTATGGATTGGCATAGTGCCACGGAAAGGAATGCACAGTCGCTTTTCATCACAGAGTTGCTTAGAGGTGAACAAATTGAAC